TTAGATTGTCAAATAAAAAAAATGACAACAGCCAACACAGCAATAGCTGTCTGATGTGAGTGAATCAAAATTATACCTTTTTTTTGGTCAGATTGGCAAAAAAAATATTTTTTTGGTGTGCTGTGCAATTTTAGTAATTAGTTTATGTGTGCCATGAGATGAAAAAGGTTGAAAATTGGTGGTGTAGAGTGCTCTGTGAATGCTATTTAAGTAATGTGGGTGATAATGTTGAGTCTTCTATATCCTTTACTGATCTTCTGTCAAGTTGTTTTCACCCCTTTATTATTATGTAATGCTCATTTTAACTTCTGATAATATTCTTTGTTCTGAAACATACTTTTTCTGATGTTAATATAGCCATTCAAACTTTCTTTTGATTAGGGTTAGCATGGTACATCTTTTTCCATCCTTTTTCTCTTATTTTATGTGTATGTTTGTATTTCAAGTGGGTTTCTTATAAATAGCAGGTAGTGGGGGGTTTTTTTTGTTTGTTTGTTTTGTGTGTGTGTTTAAGCATAGCTTCCATTCTGACTTTATTAACAGTTTTGTTTTTATAACACTTGGTAAGGGGTAAGCATTCCCTAGCCAGACAGAATATCCATTCCGATAAAACATTCAGGTAAAAAAGACACAAGTTATTTGCATAAGCCTGTTTAAACATCCCAACATTCATAATCCCATCAACCCTTTTGTAGGGAGAACAACCTTTATGTTTGCTTAATCTAATTGTAACTCACACCAGTGCTTTGTCAGTGGATTTGGGTACCATATTTTGTGGGGCTTCCATGTCAGGAAGTCCAGAAACTTCTCTTCTTCACCTCCTGACCATTTTACTCATTTGGGTACAAAGGCTTGTGTCCCCAGTGAGGGGTTGAGTCAAGGGACCCTGGTTCTTTTGTCAGCCTTCATCTTGATTCATTTCCCTAACATTGCTTGAAGCAATTGCAGGTCAGACTTCACATTATAATCTTTGAATCTTGGCTTTCAAAATGTCTCCAAACCAGGATAAATAGAACAGACTTGTTTGGGGCTTTTTAACCCTTTTGACCTGTATCACTTTGGTTAGTACTGTATTAAAACCTTTGCTTGAACCCCATCAATGTCCATTTTATTCATACCTAACCATTGAGGGTATGGCTGTTCATGCGCTGGGCCAGGGCTGCTGTTTGGGGTTGCAGCATTGGCTGCTTTTCTGGGGAGCTCAGTGGCATGGATTCTGGGCAGCTCCATCAGCTGAGATTAGCATAGGCAAAGAGAGAGAGTCCTTAGTGGCAAAACTTTGGGTGTTCCTGACAGCCACAAAGGCTGCTTGGGTCCTTGGTGTTGAAAGTTGCTAGGGTCTTCTGCTCTCCTTTTCCTCCAAAGAGGGAGGTCACAGTGAGGGTATCTTTTTTGGCAGCAAGCTGTGTGAGACTGGGGAATGGGCTGACTCAGGTAAAATGCTGCCTATGCTTTTCTATGTGGTCATCTTTGATTTTTGTGCTCAACTGGATTGCTGTAGCTCCTGCATTATACTCCAGAGCTCTCTCAGAGCTATTTTCATTAGTAAGTAGCTGTTAATCGTTTTTTTGGAGTTACAAGTGTTGAGACCTCCTAGTCCACCAATCTTGCTTATGTCACGCTCCTAAATGTTTGTTATTTCTTTTTTGTGTAAGAAATAAAGATGGTCCTTGGGGAACAGGAATTTTTACATGATATTGACTTTAGTTAGGGTGCTTTCATGGTGCTAAGCTCAATTGAGACAGGCTAGGACCCAAGGAAAACTAGCTGGCTTCTGCTTTCTCCAAAGGCAACAATGACTGTTCTTGATACTGAAATTTGGCTCAGGGGACTAAGAGGATAGAAATTTCAGTCAATGATGAAAGGTAGAGGGATTTCTTCTTATAGAAAAAGATAAATAACTGGTCTGTTTAGACTGGAGTTGACCTACTAAAAGTATTTGGAAATGTCTCTCAGTTGGCAAGATTTGGATTACAGACCTTTCTCAAGAGCTGTGGATATGTTAGCCGTCACACTGAACATCAGTCCTAGCCACACCCCCTCAACCAGGTCACTATGGGAAGAGGTACTGATCTGGACCGTTGTGGTGATCAGCCCAAGGTAAGGCATACAGTTGTATAAACTGATCTGTGTCATAGGGAATAGACTCCCAAGGAGGATCAGAGACACCCAGACATAAACTGTTAGAAATCATGAGGTTGAGAATCTCACAATGCATTCCACACACAGGCACCAGCCCCTCCAGGTTGCTCGATACCAGAAGTCTTAGGTGGTTGATGGTCATAGGCATTCACAATGCTGGGACTCATGAGTGTTTGTAGAAGTTACGGGTAAAGGGGTCTTCTCCTCCTCCTTCACTGAAATGATTTGGTTTGGTGCTTCTAGTGCCAAACTTGACCAAGTTTGTAGCTGCTGCATTCTCCTTTTGATGCTCTGGTTCTTGAACCAGGTCTTTATTATTAATTCATCAAGTGGAGTAGTTGATGTGAGTTCTGCTATGGTAACCCAGTGTGGGTACATGGTCTTTTCAAATGTAACTTTCAGTATTCAAAGCTGTTCCGGACTAAAGGTTGTGCGGCACTGGCAAGCAGACCTTGGCTTTTCTGCCATAATATCTTTTAGAAGTAGAATGATCCACTGTGTATGTTTCCAAGCTCCTGAATTTTATCTTTGTGAGTGGTGTTTTTTTTTTAATCCAATTTTAAAATCTCTTTATTTCAATTTGGATTTTTACACCACTTATATTTAATGTGATTATTGACATGATATGCTATTGGTTTCTATTTGTCTCATTTTTTATTAGAGGCTCTTCTTTTTTTCTACCTTATTTTGGATTGAGTATTTATGATCAATTTGATCACCTTTACTAGCTTATTAGTTATATCTCTTTGTTTTTCGAGGTTGCTTTGGAATTCATTGTCTATATCCTTAACTTATCACTGTCTGTCTTCAAGTAATATTATACTCATTTACTTATAGTATAAAACCTAACTTCTCCTGGCCTTTATGTCATGCCATTTTACTTCTACATTGTTACAAACTCCATAATACATGGTTATTATTTTTGCATTAAATGGTCTTTTATCTTTAAAAATAATCTTAAAAATTAAGGAAAATAGCATTTCTATTTAGTCATGAACTTTCTGTTTCCAATGCTTTTCATTTGTTTAACTTCTGGCTTGCATTGTTTCTGAAAAGTCTTCTGTCTACCATGTCTGTGTTTGTCTTTCTATACATGTTTCCTTTTTCTCTGGCTGCTTTTAAGATTTTCTCTTCAGGTAAATTGATTATGATGTACCTTGGTTTAATTTCCTTCTTGTTTTTTCTGCTTGGGGATTATTGACCTCCTTGGATCTATAGGTTCATAATTTTTATCAATTTTTGAAAAATTTTTATCATTATTTCTTTAAATATGTTTTTGTCTCAACCTGGCCTCTCTTCAAGTCCTCAATTACACATATATTTCTGTGTGTGTCTTTTTTTTAAAGGAAGAAGGGGTCTTTCTTTCTTTGTGTTTCATTTTACATAGTTTCTATCCCGCACATGTTGTTTTGTTTGCATATTGACTGTCTTTCCTTTTGACTGATGTAACTTTAATCCCACCCAGTGTATTTTTCAGCTCATATATATATATTGTTTTATTTCTAGATGTTTAATTTGGGTCTTTTCTAAGTGCTTTTCACGTCTCTTCTTAGCATGTTATATTTCCCTCTATTTTCTTAAATATATACAGTGCATTTATAATAGCTATTTTAAGGAGCTTGTGTACTAATTATTTTTGTGTATAATGTCTAGATCGTTTTCTTATTGATTAACTGTTCTTATTATATATATATTCTCATGCTTTTTTTCATGCCTGTTAATTTTTGAATAGGTGGAAGACATTTTGCAATTTATGTTGTTGGGTTCTGTACTGTATTCTTTTAAATATTTTAAACTTTCTTGTTGGAATGCATTTAAGTTAGTTGGAAAGTTTGGATCCTTTGGTGGCTTGTTGATGAACATTGTTAGGCACTTTCTAGTTTAGTATACCAGCTTTGTCTGGTGCTAATGTGGCCCTTCTGCTGAGGCAACACTCTTCCAAGAACTCAGCCCTGTGGCCCCTGTGCCACAAGGTTCCCTGGTCTGGTTGTTGGGAGTGAACACATTTCTAAAGCTGTGGGAGCTACAACTCCTGTTGCCCTACTTCTTTTTGTTGACTCTGATCTCAGGTAGTTTGCTCACTCACATGAGCTAATTGGTGTCCAGGTGAAGACTGAGGTGAACCCCCCCATAGGCTTCTGGAGCACTTCTCTGTCTGGCCCTCTTCTTTCTGGTACTCTGCCCTGGTCATTCTAGCCTCTGTTGCCTCCCTGAATCTCAACCTTGTTTCTTCCTCTCAGGACTCCCCTTGCTTTTCCTGGCCCCTCTTTCCGCACAGTGGCCTGGAAACTCACCGCTCTGCAGGCTGGGTGATCAGGATGCATTGCTTTGTTTCTTTCCCTCAGGGATCATTGTCCTGTGATGCCTGCTGTGCCCGTCTCTGGTCTTCTGTCTGTTTTCTCAATTGTTTGAGGTGGGAGAGTCTATTCCTCTTCTTCTGTCATGGATAGAAGTGGATGTCCCCCTTTGGCAGTTTCTGACACCCCCATCCTCTTCAGTCCTCATTGGACTGAGGCCTTTGGGCTGCCCAAAGGAGTCGCTGGTGATGTTATTTACCTGCCACTGAAGTCTTTGCACAGGCAGGCCTCCTTTGTCCAGTCAGGGTTTAGGGGATTTTCAGTCTCTGAACATTTATTCATATCTTTTAAGTTCCAGATTCAGTTTAGATTCTACTACTTTTGATGGAATTTTTTCTCTGGAAAACTGCCTTGACTTTCCAAATAACTGATTTATGATTATGTTTTAAAAAATAAATTACTTTGGTTTGATGAAGTTTGATGTCTAAGGTGACAGAGCATTCTTTGTGTTATTTTCTATGTATAATTTACAATTATAATAAACTTTTAACCTGTTTGCAGGGCTATCTACAGAGAGAGAAGATCTTCACATGGTTCCATGTAAGTAGTGCTTCTTACAATGCCTTTATAGAGGTTATGTCTTTAAATTGAGTGATTCTTTATACTTGAATTGATTTTTAAAATCTTGCTTACATATGAAGCCACATGCCTTGCTGCCCTCCTTTGTATCCTGGTTTTATGTCACACGAAGGACCTGTTACAGGTCAGGGCACAACAACAAGAGCCAGTGATATGCACAATTTCCCTTTTAGCTTTTGTAGAACCAAGATTGAAAAGAGGCAGTTTTCTTCTTTTCTATTAACCTTCCTTCTCCAAAGTTAACCTGATCAAACTGTCCAGCAGTGGACCTGAGGGCCAGTTGTTAATGTGCCCTGCACAGACACATGCCTTTGCCCCATGCTCTAGCAGTGCCCACCAGCTGGGCAGTGATGAGTGTGTGCTGCGGCCATGATGGCATGTCTAGGCCTTGTGGATACCTCTTTGTGGCTGTGACCCCAGTTTGCAAAACTGCCTTGAAATTATTCCTTTTAAATTTATCCTTAAGAGTTGTGTTTTTCTAAAACTTATAATAATATTTTCTAAAAGTTTTTAGCAGTCTTGCATGGAATACTAACATAGTCATAAGAGCATCTAATGTTTATGAAGTGCCAGATTTGTGTCAGCCATGCTGTTCTGAATACCTTGCTCAGTCCCCATAGTACCCTGTGAGGTAGGTACTGTTCTACCCACTTTCAAGGCTTGGGGAGGTGACGTCACTGTGTTGGTCAGTGGTGAGACTGGGATTTGTGCCAAGGCCTCTGACTTCTTCACAAGCCTGAGTCTGCTTCACGAGGGTAGGATAAGTGGGAGCTGCCTTGATGATGTGAGGTGGGCTCTGAACTCAGTGTCTGCCCTCCCCGTCAAATGGTTTTGATGACAGCCCCAAGTGGCCACCATGAAGTGCTGAGCTGACTCACCTTCCAGAGCCTTTTGCCTGCTGCAGGACAGCAACTTCATTCATTAAGAGTCCCCTTGGGAGACGGTGGCGAGAAGTTGGGAGCACGTGCACATTGGTATTTAGGGCTGGTGAGTAACTGAATCCTGACCAACATTTGAAGAGGAGAGTTCTTATTTAACAAATTACTTGAACAAAGCCCTTGTTTGTTCTTTCCTTTATTCAGCAAGTATTTATGGAATGCCTGTGAGATGCCAGGCACTCTTCTGGAATGCCTTTAGCTTATCTCCTGTGGGGGTTATGAAACATAAATATTGTAAGTAACAGTGTGTCAGGTAGTGATGCTGCTGTGGAGGAAATGAAGAAGGGGAGCTGTGGGAGTACTGGGTTTCGAATGGGCAGTCATTGTGAGCCCCTGAGAAGGGGGCATCTGAGCAGAGCTGTGAAGGAGGTGCAGGAGTGAGTCCTGTGGGAGTTGAAGGGTGAAGGGCTCCATGTCAAGGGGAGTTGGAACAGAGGCTCTGGGCAATGTGCCTGGCCAGTGTGGCTGGAGCCAAATGGACTGAAGGGGCAGGGCAGGAGATGAGGTCAGTGGACAGCAGGAGTACATCAGGGCCTAGAGGGTCATCCTGAGGCCGCTCTTGCTCTGCCAGGAATGGGGGCTGAGTGTGGGAGTGGGGAGCCAGGTAGTCTTTTTTCTGCCTTTGTTGGATTGTTTTTTCAAACTAAAGCTGTTACATAGAGGACATTCAAATTCCTCCTGGCTTGGGACCAACATTGTAATTGTGCAAATCTGGATCTAATTTTCACAGAAACCCCAAGGGAAGAACCCCAGAACTCAGGCATGTAAACAATGCCCTGTATGTGCTGGGCCTCTTTCCCCCTAGACTTTCATGGTGTCCAGTTTCCTCCACCTGAGTTTGGACCAGACTGCAGTTCTGAAGATGAATCGGCATGCTGGGGTGGGCCAGGCTGGCTGAGTTACCCACCCTGTCTGCAGTGCACAGCACTGTGGGCTCTGCATCGGAGGAGAAGCAGAGACAAACAATGCGTTTGAGCCTTCAAGACTGTTTCCGGAGGGCTGCAGTGGGGACTCTGGGAATTCCCTGAGGCTTGGTTAAGTGAAGGCAGACAGCTTTTTATAGGGCACCTGTGGCCTCTTCTGCAGATTTGGAGGGGGGCTATTAGGAGCACTCAGCTGGTTGGAACAGAAATGGCTCTGCTTCCCTTGGCAATCTTGGTTGAGTCCTGCAGTGTCTTCCAGTGGGATTCCTGGGGGTGTGATGAGCCAGTACAGAGCTAATCTGTGGTGGGTGATGCCCAGGGGAAATGGTGGCTTTGGAAGAACTTCAGTTTCCATTTGCACATCTCTAAGAACTTTCCACACTTCCTTAGACTGAAGTGAACGGCAGTCTAATATAGTGAAGTTGAAGACAGACTTCTGGCCTCAGTATGATCCTGTGCTTAGACAAAGCTAGGGCTCCTGAAAGCCCGCTTTGTTAGGCAGAGCGGTATCAGGGCTCCCACAGCTGGCTGGTGGCAGAGCCCCTTCTGGGCCCAGCTCAGGACAGGGCCTTAGACTGCACTTAAGAGCAGGAAATGAAGAGGGTAATGATAACAAGAACTGTGTTGAAAATTTTATTTACTTCAAAGTCTTTTAGTCTTTGTAATATTGAATTGGTTGTTTGCTTTTCACAGTTTTTCCCCCTGCATTACATTGATGTAACAACTTTTTCTATAGAATTGGAAAATTTGGAACATATGGAAAAGAACTTTAAAACTCACCAAAATGAGTACAGACAGGATTGTGCTGATGAGCTTGGTGACCAGGACTCCTCCTTCTGAGGCCCCCTTCCTGCTGTGTCCTTCTTGGTGACCCTGCCGCCCACAGCCTGTAGTTCACAGGACAGTTCTCTGGTCACTTTCTCACAAATACCCCTGGCTCCTTCCCATGGATGAGTGTCTGCTGGGCACAATAACTGCGTGGTGTTGCGGGGAAACCATGCAGCCCCGCAGACTGGCCAAGGGCCTTGGCACAGCTTCCATCCCCTCCCTGACCTGGGCCACACCTCCCTGGTGTGGTTGCTTTTATCTGAGACCATGCTTGTGCATCTGATCTTCCTTCCTCAGATTTTAGTCTAGGCTGGTACTATGCCTCTTTCCCATCTGGAATGCTGCCAACCCACCCTCTGCTTGGTACTCCGTGTGTCCCAGGCAGGCTCCCTGTCCTTTACTTAGGGACTTGCTGATATCTCAGTTGTGCCACCTCTCTCCTGGGCTTCACCTTCTTCTCCCTTATGGATCCCATCTTGATAGTTCCTATCTTAAAATAAAAAATTTCCTCCCTTGATTTTCAGCCAAAATAGGAGATTAAATTCACAGTGACCTCTGCTTCTATTAAAAACCCACTAAAAGGGCACAAGCTACCAAGAGATTAAGAGAGGAGGTGACAGAATTTGGGAATTTGGAAATCAGATGGACAAGCAGAAGGACCTAGCAGATCTGAAAAACCGAAAGCTGGGAAGCATGTGTGTGTTTGTATGTATGTATGTGTGTGTGTGTGTGTTAGGGGACGCCTGGGAGTTGAATGTACTGCATTATAGACAGTCTCCCCAAACCCATCTCAGGAATGACATTCCATATAACTCTGAAAATGAGGCTGGGGGCAGCAATAAAAATAGGGCTGAAATAGGAAATTGGTGGAAAGCCTGTTTAAGAAACAGACTCTCAGCCTCCTCCCCAACCTAGCCTGACAATCCCTTCCCTACCCTGGCTGAAGACTGCAGATACCTTCCCTGAGAGGTAGACTGAAGTTTTCAGGCACAGTAAAGGAGACTGTCCTAAACAGAAAGTAGAGCCAGCCCCTGCCCTGTTGTCCCCAGAACACTGGAAACCTGGGATGGACTGTTGGACGTGAGTGAATGGAGCAGGCAGGGTAAGGCCTGGGGAGCAGGTAGATGGTGGCTGCAGGAGAGAATCACAGGCTGTTCCCTGCTGTGTTTGAGTAATCCTGGCTGAGAGTTTGGAGATAGGTTGACTCGAGTGCTCAGGACACTCAGCAAGCCCTTATTAACTCTAGGAAGCCATTATGTGGTCCAAGAAGGGGAGTGCAGCAGGAGGAGGAATAATGTTCCAGGGCTCCCTCGTGCCTGTCCTGACAATGTTGTGACAGTGGGTACTGAAGCCAGATGGTCAGACCTGAGCGGGCAGAGGTATGTGGCTCTGAGAGTTGATTCTGTTCATAGTAGGAAGTTAGTGGATGACACAGACTGTAAAGTCAAGAAAAGTGAACTGAACCTGGGCATTAGAAATGGGGAGAGAAATACCAACAGAAGGGAAAGAATCAAGAGAGATGCCTGTGGGAGGGGACACTGTTTTCACTGTAAGCTTTGTGGAATTCTTTGACTTTAAAACTTTGTACATCTATAATTTTGTTAAAATAAAATTGAAAGATTATATAGCAAATAACTGCTTTACAAAGAATAGTTATGAAAGCAGGGCTTCTCCACATCCTCCTGTTTGTGCTCCTGCCAGGGCCAAGCTGGACTGTGTGGCCATCTGGTCCTCCCCAGCGGGGCTTTGTCTGCACCACTGGGCTGGTTCACGTGGCCCCTGCCTTCCAAATCTGGTGAAAAAGTCTTTCTTCAGGGGCTTGAGCTTTGCAGCTTTAGACCCCTAGAATAACCTCTTCCCATGACACCACTCTCTCCAGGTCCCCATGTTTGTTTATGCCCCCCAGCCGCCTGCGTGTGTGAGCTGCTTTTTCCTGATGTTCAGCGAGGACCCTGCTGGTGGTTGGTGCTTGGGGGTTTACCGGGCCCACAGCATGGCTGCAGACGTTTTGGTCTGTTTCACTCCAGACTTCATTCAGGGATTAAGATGCATATATACCTCTGTGCCCTGCTTTTAACCTGAATGGAATACTGCAAAATGTTTTACATCACCCGGTTTGAAAAATCTCATTTTTTAAAAGTTGCATAGTTTCCACTCTATAGATGGTAGGTATTTATTAAATAATTCCCCTTTTGTTTAATAAATTTGGGTTTTTCTCAGCTCAGTTGCTAACAACGGTTAGTGGAGCAGTGAGCAACCTTGCGCTTAAATG